TGTTGTCACCGTTCTCACTAATGTCCCTGTTGTCACTGTTGTAATGGTTGTCACTGTGTTCACTGTTGTCAGTATTTTCACTGCTGTCACTGTTATCACCTTTGTCACCGTTGTCACTGCTGTAACCGTTTGATGTTACCGTTGTCACCATTGTCACCGTTGTCTCCGTTCTCACTTTTGTCACCGTTGTCACTGTTTTCACCGTTCTCAACGTTGTCACTGATGTCACCTTTGTCACTGTTGTCATTGTTGTCCCCGTTGTGACCGCTGTCACCTTAGTCACTGTTGTCACTGTTGACATGGTTAAGAAAGTTGTCACCGTTGTCACTGTGGTCATCGTTGTCACTGTTGTCACTGTTGTCACCGTTGTCATCGTTGATACCGTTGTCACCGCTGTCACTGTTGTCAATTTTGTCACCATTGTCAAAGTTGTCACTGTTGTGAATGTTGTAATTGTTGTCACTGTTGTTACCGTTGTCACTGTCACTGTTGTCACTGTAGTCAGCATTGTCACCGTTGTCTCCGTTGTCACTTTTCTCACTGTTGTCACCGTTGTCACTGTTGTGACTGTTTTCACCGTTGTCAACGTTGTCACTGGTGTCACCTTTGTCATTGTTGTCCCCGTTGTGACTGCTGTCACCGTAGTCACTGTTGACACTGCTGTCAAAGTTATCACCGCTGTCACCGTAGTCACGGTTGTCTAAGTTGTCACTGTTATCCCTGTGGTCATCGTTGTCACTGTTGTTACTCTTGTCACCGTTGTCATCGTTCTCAACGTTGTCACTGTTGTCACCATTGTCACTCTTGTCATCGTTGTCACTGTTGTCACTGTTGTCACCATTGTCACCATTGTTACTGTTGTCACTGTTGTCACCGTTGTCACCGTTGCCATCATTGTCACCGTTGTCACTGTTGTCACTATTATCACCGTTCTTACTGTTTTCACTGTTGTCACAGTTGTCATTGTTGTCACTGTTGTCACCATTGTCAGCATTGTCACTGTTTTCAGGGTGTCACCGTTGTTACCGTTGTCACCGCTGTCACTGTTGTCAATTTTGTCACCATTGTCAAAGTTGTCACTGTTGTGAATGCTGTAATTGTTGTCACTGTTGTTACCATTGTCACTGTCACTGTTGTCACTGAAGTCAGCATTGTCACCGTTGTCACTTTTGTCACTGTTGTCACCGTTGTCACTGGTGCCACCTTTGTCATTGTTGTCCCCGTTGTAATTGCCGTCACCGTAGTCACTGTTGTCACTGTTGTCAAAGTTGTCACCGCTGTCACCGTGGTCACTGTTGTCATGGTTGTCAAAGTTGTCACTGTTATCACTGTGGTCATCGTTGTAACTGTTGCTACTGTTGTCACCGTTGTCATCGTTCTCAACGTTGTCACTGTTGTCACCATTGTCACTCTTGTCATCGTTGTCACTGTTATCACCGTTGTCACTGTTGTCGCAGTTGTCACCGTTGTTAATGTTTTCACTGTTGTCACCGTCTCACCGTTGTCACTGTTGTTACCGTTGTCACTGTTGTCAGTGTTGTCACTGTAGTCACCGTTGTTACTGTTGTCACTGGTGTGTGTTCTCAGTGTTGTTACTGTTGGTGCTGTTGTTACCATTGTCACGGTTCTCACTGTTTTCATTGTTGTCCCTGTTTTCCCCCCTGTCACCATTGTTACCATTGTCAGCGTTGTCACCAGTATCACCATTGTCTCCGTTATAACTTTTGTCAATGTTGTTATCGTTGTCACTGATGTCATTGTTATCACTGTTTTCACCATTCTCACTGTTATCCGTGTTGTTACTGTTTTTACTTTTTCAGTGTTGTCACCGTTGTTACTGTTGTCATTGTTGTCACTGTTGTCACCGTTGTCACTTTTGTCACAGTTGTCACCCTCGTCACAGTTGTCACTGTTGTCACCGTTGTCGCGGTTGTCAACGTTGTCAATGTTGTAACAGTTGTCACTCTTGTCACCGTTGTGAATGTTGTCACTGTTGTCACTATTGTCACCATTGTCACTGTTGTCACGATTTCACCGTATTACTGTTGTCACCGTTGTCACTTGTCAAAGTTTTCAATGTTCTCACCGTTGTCAATGTTGTCACTGTTGTCACCGTTGTCACTGTTCTCACCGTTGTCACTGTTCTCACTGTTGTCAGTGTTGTCACTGTAGTCACGGTTGTTACTGTTGTCACTGGTGTGTGTTGTCAGTGCTGTCACTGTTCTCACTGTTGTCACAGTTGTCACTGTTTTCATTGTTGTCCCTGTTTTCCACGCTGTCACCATTGTTAACATTGTCACGAGTATCACCATTGTCTCCGTTATAACTTTTGTCAATGTTGTCATCGTTGTTACCGTCGTCACTGATGTCATTGTTATCACTGTTTTCACCAGTGTCACTGTTCTCAGTGTTTTTACTTTTTCAGCGTTGTCATTGTGGTCATTGTTTTCAGTGTTCTCACTGTTGTCACCAATGTCACCGTTGTGACCGTTGTCACTGTTGTCACCGTTGTCACTGTTGTCAAGGTTGACGCTGCTGTCACTGTTCTCGCTGTAATCACTGTTGTCACAGTTGTGACTGTTGTCACCGTTCTCACAGTTGACACTGTTGTCACTGTTGTCACAGTTGTCACCGTTGTCACTGTTGTAACAGTTGTCACGGTTGTCACTATTGTCACTGTTGTCACAGTTCCCACCGTTGTTACTGTTTTCACTGTTGTCACTGTCTCACCGTTGTCACTGTTTCCACTGTTATCACTGTTGTCACCATTGTCACTGTTGTCACAGTTGGCACTGTTGTCACTGTTGTCACCGTTGTTACTGTAATCACTGTTGTCACTATTGTTACTGTTTTCACCGTTGTCACTGTTGTCACAATTGTGACTGTTGTCACCGTTGTCACTGTTGTCAAGGTTCACACTGTTGTCACAGTTGTGACTGTTGTCACCGTTGTCACAATTGACTGTTGCCCCCGTTGTCACTGTTGTCACCATTGAGACAGTTGTCACCGTTGTTAATGTTGTCACCGTAGTCACTGTTGTCACCATTGTCACTGTTGTCACTTTGTCACCGTTGTCACTGTTCACACTGTTGTCACAGTTGTCACAGCTGTCACTGTTGTCACGGTTGTCACTATTGTCGCCGTTGTCACTGTTGTCACCATTGTCACCACTGTCACCGTTGTCACGGTTCACAGTTGTCACTGTTGTCACAGTTGTCACCGTTGTCAACGTTGTCACTGTTGTCACTGTTGTTACTGTTCACTTTTGTCACCGTTGTCACTGTTGCCACAGTTGTCACTGTTTTCACTGTTGTCACCATTGTTACTTTTGTCACCGTTGTCACTGTTGTTACCGTTGTCATTGATGTCACCATTGTTACCGTTGTCACTGTTGTCATCGTTGTGACTGTTGTCAACGTTGTTACTGTTGTCACAGTTGTCACTGTTGTCACCGTTGTCACTGTTGTCACCATTGTCATTGTTTTCACTGTTGTCATCGTTGTCACTGTTGTCACCGTTGTCACTGTTGTCACTGTTGTCTCAATTGTGACTGTTGTCGCCGTTGTCACTGTTGTCACAGTTCTCACTGCTGTCACCGTTGTCACTGCTGTCAACGTTGTCACTGTTGACACTGTTGTCACTGTTGCCACCGTTGTCACGGTTGTCACCGTTATTACTGTTGTCACAGTTGTCAGTATTTTCACCATTTTCACTGTTGTCACCATTGTCACTGTTGTCACCAATGTCACTGTGGTCACTGTTGTCACAGTTGTTAGTGTTTTTACTATTGTCACCGTCTCACCGTTGCAACTGGTTGCACTGTTGAATCCGTTGTCACTGTTGTCACCGTTGTCACTGTTGTCTTCGTTGTCACCATTCTCACTGTGGTCACTGTTTTCACTGTTGTCACTGTTGTTAGTGTTTTCACTATTGTCACCGTCTCACTGTTCTTACTGTTGTCAGTGTTGGCACTGTTTTCACCGTTGTCACTGTTGTCACCGTTGTCACTGTTGTCACTATTGTAACCGTTGTCACTGTTCTTACTGTTTTCACTGTTGTCACAATTTCACTGTTTTACTGTTGTTACCGTTGTCACAGTTGTCACTGTTCTCACCGTTGTCAATGTTGTCACTGTTCTCGCAGTTGTCATCGTTTTTAATGTTTTCACTGTTGTCACCGTCTCACCGTTGTCACCGTTGTTACTGTTTTCACTGTTGTCAGTGTTGTCACTGTAGTCACTGTTGTTACTGTTGTCACTGGTGTGTGTTGTCAGTGTTGTTACTGTTGGCACTGTTGTTACCATTGTCACGGTTCTCACTGTTTTCGTTGTTGTTCCTGTTTTCCCCCTTGTCACCATTGTTACCATTGTCACTGTTGTCACCAGTATCACCATTGTCTCCGTTATCACTTTTGTCAATGTTGTGATCGTTGTTACCGTTGTCACTGATGTCATTGTTATCACTGTTTTCACCGTTGTCACTGTTGTCAGTGTGGTCAATGTTTCTACTTTGTCACTGTTTTCACTTTTGTCACTAATGTCACCATTGTCACCGTTCTCACAGGTGTCACTATTGTCACAATTGTCACTGTTGTCACCGTTGTCCCTTTTGTCACAGTTGTCACAGTTGTCACTGTTGTCATGGTTGTCAGCGTTGTCACTGTTGTAACAGTTGGCACTCTTGTCACCATTGTCAATGTTGTCACTGTTGTCACCGTTGTCACTGTTGTCACTGTTGTCATCGTTGTCATTGTTGTCACAGTTGTCACCGTTGTTACTGTTTTCACTGTTGTCACTGTCTCACCATTGTCACTGTTGTCATTGTTGTAACTGTTGTCTTCGTTGTCACAGTTGTCACTGTTGTCACGATTGTCACAGTTGTCACGTTTGTCACCGTTGTCACTATTGTCACTGTTGTCACCGTTGTTACTGTTTTTACTGTTGTCACCGTCTCACCGTTGTCACTGTTGTCACTGTTGTCACAGTTGGCACTGTTGTCACTGTTGTCACCGTTGTTACTGTTATCACTGTTGTCACCATTGTTACTGTTTTTATGGTTGTCACTGTTGTCACAATCGTAACTGTTGTCACCGTGGTCACTGTTGTCAAGGTTAACACTGTTGTCACTGTTCTCACTGTTGTCACAGTTGTAACTGCTGTCACCATTGTCACAGTTGTCACCGTTGTCACTGTTGTCATTGTTGTCACTGTTTTCACCATTGTCAATGTTGTCACCGTTGTCACTGTTGTCACAGTTGTCACTCTTGTCACCGTTGTCACTGTTGTCACTGTTGTTACTGTTGTCACCGTTGTCACTGTTGTCACAGTTGTCACAACAGTGACAATAGTGAAAACAACGACAACAGTGGCAACAGTGGCAACACTGACAACGGTGACAACTGTGACAACAGTGACAACGGTGACAACAGTAACAACAGTGACAACAGTGACAACGGTGACAAGAGTGACAACTGTGACAACAGTGACAATGGTGACAACAGTGATAACAATGACAACAGTGACAACGGTGACAACTGTGACAATGGTGACAGCAGTCACAACTGTGACAGCAGTGTAAACTGTGACAACGGTAACAACAGTGAAAACGGTGACAACAGTGAAAACGGTGAGAACAGTGACAACGGTGACGACAGTGACAAGAGTAGAAACAGTAACAACGGTGACAACTGTGACAACAGTGACAACGGTGACAACCGTGACAACTGTGACAACAGTGACATTTGTGACAACAGTGACAACGGTGAGAACAGTGTCAACTGTGAGAACGGTGACGACAGTGAAAACGGTGACAATAGTGAAAACGGTGACCACAGTGACAATTGTGACAACAGTGAGAACGGTGACAACTGTGACAACAGTGACAACGGTGACAACAGTGACAACTGTGAAAACAGTGACAACGGTGACAACAGTGACAACGGTGACAACAGTGACAACGGTGACCACAGTGACAACTGTGACAACAGTGAGAACGGTGACAACTGTGACAACAGTGACAACGGTGACAACAGTGACAA